ATCCGCACGCATCACAGGTATTATCGTATTTCTGAGCTTGCTGAAGATTGTTTCTGGGCATGGCCTTCATTGATGGATGGCAGGAGGATTACCCTGAAAGCATTGTCGTTTCACTGAAATAAACGATGAACAATCGTAGGAGTGCACTATGCTGTGGTAAGCTCTTATCCGCTCCATACAATTAACTCATGATTAGAGGCATGGGATTCTACTACCACATTACCCCTAGGGTAGGATTCTTGGACAAGCTGTTCGACTAAGGGGAATCAAAAGCGCAACGTGTTGATTGGGTCTGGACCGTCGATTCAGGCTGAAAGCTTACTCTCATGATCAGATCTAAACACCGAATTTTCCTATCCGACCTGGCACCAGGCGTCGTCGGGGATCATTCGTCGCCTTTGATACTCGACCAGCGATGGGGATCATCAGATAGCCCTGTATGACATGGTTGTCACTCTGGCCTTGGCGTCATCTTTTACTGTTGGATATGATATATTCTACGGCTCTTTTACGGCTGTACGACTTCGGTGGTTCCGGTGGTCTAGGCAGCAGATCCTATTCGCTTCATAATGACATCCCCCATCGACACCCATTGGTGATAGCAGGCACTGACACATTCGCGGATCGTAAAATGGAGACGGAACTCGGAGATATAAAGTATTGGAACACAGGCGTGTAGGACTTGATGCTTGTCAACGATGCACGGGGAGCTTATGGCACAGCTGGGTTCTCCATTGACACCAGATGTTGTTTTGAGGTCCTACAAGTGCCTCAGCTTACGTTCCGACCTTGCCCTGTACAACATAGATGACTGAGGCTCGGGCGAAGCTTGTAGTAGATGTGATGACAGGAGCTTTCCCCCTTTCCTCGGCCAGTCTTCAAACGCAATGGATACCCAGCGCAACATGTAGAAAGGTTCTCTCGCATCTTTACAGTGGAGTTTGACAACAGAAACCCCGGGGCGTGGGAATTGTAGGCTTTGCGTTATGTCTGCGTGATCCAGGTTCTATTGGCCTAGAGTATCCGAAAGACATCCGCAGACCAAGTGTCTGCGACTTATCCCTGTAACGTCGAAGCTATCGTATCATATACTCATCGCTTGTCTCGATGTAGATGAGAATAGGTAGTCAGGTGCGTGACGGCAAACCTTGATAACAGATCATGTTCCCAGGGACAAGTCTCCTATAAGGTCAAGCTTGGTAAGGCCGATTCCAGATATGCTGTAAATTTGAGAGCAGCAAAGGGAGCCAAGCCAATCTCCTATTCCTCCATGAACAAGAAGCGATTGGAATTTATTATAACCAAAAACAATTCCGTGTTGATGACACATCTGAAAGGGGAAGCCATTACTTGACATGAATATTTAGTCGGGCTTACAATGCCCTCGGGAAAATCCTCAAGCTTAGGTTATTGCCATGGTATGAAGCTATCCTTAGTACTTGGGAAGCCCTTGAATTGAATCGGAAGCATTCTCAAAGAAGGTGTCATCAGATCCTTAAATAAGAATCAACTCAAGATAACAGACATTATGAAGCATTCGTTTCGAAGCGATTTGTAAACTGGTAAGCTCACTTTGAACTGGTGGCTAGCCTGCGCATCTTGGGCGATACAATCTAATGTCACGAGCTCGAGGCAGCCCGTGACTCGACTTTCGCACATAGTGATTTCGTTACTGCCCAAGCCTTTCATAAGTGTCTTGTGATTGAGTCTCCTAGGAGTTTTGGATATTGACTTGGCTTACTTCCTACGATAGGGGAAACGAGGAAGGAGATCAAATGTGATCTATAAGAACTACAGTAGATTGTGGTTGACCATGATACAAGGCCCAACAGCAACAGATTTGCAAAAATATCAGAAAGATAACACGACCAGCTCATTACCTGAGACAATGTAATCGGGGAGGTTACCACAGCGGAATGAGTCGAAAACTGTAATGTAGTTAAAAGTATAGTGCCGTTCTTAAACTGTTGCCTATCGTGAGTCCACTCATTCATGGAGCAACAAACATACTATTCCATAAAACAGGGATAAACAGGCAGCAGAAAAAACAAATCTAACTACTCAGAGACCTAGCTCATTGATAATTGAAATGTCATATAATATATTTCGGTTCCTGAAACAGCTGCCTGGCATCTCTTCGCTGGGCTTGATACAGGATATGAAAGATGCCGGGTAGCTTGGTTTGAGAGATAACCTCAGCTCTTTTGGATACTATATTCATTAGTATATTGTATTGTAAATAATATTTTGTAGTAATGAGCAAGAAATTATCGCGAATTATATTCAAGTCTATGTCTAAATCTATGTTTAAATGGAGTGGACGTTAGAATTAACGGGCGCTTGCCGCAATAAGCCACTTTTTGATGCACGTTCAAACGCAGCATATTAAGTGTCACATATCACAACCGCAACAACAAAATAGCGTACCACAGTAATTTCTCTGCCTTGATCCAACTAAGTCCAGTCAAGATAACTATCAGTATTGAATAATATCTACATAGAGCGACCCTGTCACGTGTAATAAGGGGTTGCTGGGTCAGAGCGCCACCGTAGTGCTTGCAGTTCGCATCGTTTAGGCACCATCATTCTTCAAGAGATATATCAGGAGAATATCTCAACAGAGAGATTGATTTTGGTCAAGAACAAAAATCTCACAGTTTCTAATACCCATTAATCTCACGAGTCTCATTGCAACCATGGATCAATTCTTTCTTGATCATGCTCAACGCTATCAGGAGCTGGTGAATCGCTTCAAACCAGCGCCTGTCAAGTCCAAGACCAGCAATGAAGAGTCCAACCCTGACATCACTATTGCTACTCGTCTTCGACCAATGCTAGATGATGAGAAAGAAGGTGGACAGTTGATTGGCGCGTTTCCTCGAAGCAACGCACCTGGCATGATTGACTTACACGAACTGCGGAGGCCAGTCAGGGGACCTCCTCCTTTGGTGGTGAGTACAAGATAACTCGTACAAAGCTACCTATAGAAAGGGTTACTGATAGAATTGCAGTCTACAAACTATCGCGTGGATAGGGTCTTCAACTCCGAAGACACAACCGAAGGCATCTATGAAGAGCTCGTCAAGCCTCTTGTCCCCTGGGCATGGGGCGGCGGTGTTAGCACCATGTTCGCCTATGGCCAGACAGGCTCGGGCAAAACATATACTGTCAGCGGCCTCGAGCGCCTGATCGCCGAAACGCTCTTCTCGAGTGATATTCAGGGCACCCGGAACATCTTCATCTCTATCATCGAACTCGCAGGTAACTCAGCCTCTGATCTCCTCAACGCTCGCAAACCCATCTCTATCCTAGAGGACTCCTTTGGGTCGACTCATCTCGCTGGAGCTTCAGAGTACCACGTTACAGATGCGGATACCCTGATCAAGCACATCAACAATGCGGCATCTTTCCGACGGACTGCCTCTACGCAGAAGAACGACTCTTCGTCCCGCTCGCACGCTATCTGCAAGATTCGCCTCGAGAACCCCGAGCTCCCCCAATCTGACGACGGGCTTCTCTATCTAATTGACCTTGCCGGTTCAGAAGCTGCAAGAGATGTCACCGAGCATTCAGCTCAGCGCATCAAAGAATCTCGAGAGATCAATGCTAGTCTTTCTGTGCTCAAGGACTGTATCCGTGGGAGAGCCAGTGTTGACGCTGCAGGTCTCGCCACTGGCAAGAAGGTCTACGTACCTTTTCGGCAGAGTGCTCTGACTAAAGTTCTGAAACATGTTTTTGATCCAGCTGCTGAGCGCAGCTGCAAAACCGTCGTCGTAGCCTGTGTCAACCCAAGCTTCCTTGACGTGGGCGCTACCAAGAACACGCTGAGATACGGAGAAATGCTGAGAATTACCGTCCCTAAAGCTGCCGTGCCGAAATATGATGCTTCAAAGCCAAGCACCTGGCCCCAGGATCTGCTCCATGATTGGATTCTCAAGAACGTAAGTCATTGAGCACTAGCTTGCTGTCAGTAACAACAACTTGCTAACGTCACCAATCTACAGTCTGGCACCCCGCCCGTTTCCCCTACAGCTCTCGCACCCAAAGAGACGGGTATCCAACTTCTTCGGCTCCCGGTTCCAGAATTCATCACACGCTGCCTCAAGACCCCGGGCGTCACGCTCGAGCAAGCGACCGCCTTCCAAGCTAAATTCTGGCGTCTTCACATCGATTCGCAGCGAGCCTCTAACAACAAGCCAAAGACGAGCCAGAAAGACGCCAAGCCGGAGAAAGAAGAAGCTGGAAAGCAGGGACTTTCAAGCCAAGACCTGAGACCCGAGATGGCAGATGTTCCATTCAAAGACCGTCTTCGACCAGGAATGGTGGTTAGCTGGAATCCATCTGATGACACTCCGGGATTCTATCGCCTCCCTGGGCGTAATCTCGTCATGATTCTAAGTCCTGAGGGCGAGGGAACCTTCAGATGCGCTGTCACTGTTCCTGCAATCATGCCAGGAGCTTTTGAGATTTACCTTTGGCAACAAGTTGTCGCCCAGGTTGATACCATGGAAGCGGAGGTCTTGCTTGAGTACGACCCCGGAACTAGGTATTACTACGAAAACGTGTAAGATGAGTGGCTGAAGGAATTAGATTGGGTGCTAGTTGGGTGTAAGTGAGCCATGGATGATTGGAGGGTTGTGAGATGAGAAAAGATACTATAGTATGACATAAAAGTTGTTGCAGTAATGAATATGCTTCGGAAGTACATAGTAAAATAATACATATGTTTGTTGGGTTACTCACTGATTGGTACGTCGAAGCTATGCTACTGGGATGAATGACGCCAAGTCACAAAGCTTCATGATTATCAGATGTTACAAGCAGAACAGTTCAAAGTAGGATAGATCCTTGTATTAGTTTGTGTAGCAGTACGCATGGGCCTAAAAACCCTCATTAAAACTTCATAATCCTCGTGTCGCTGTCTGGCCCCAACAGGGTATCTCATTTTAGATTGAAAGGGCTCAGCAGCGACACTTTTTGCCGTTCGCTCACATCTCAAATTAAGCCTCAGTCTTCTCAGCAAGAGCCTTCAGGATAGGCTCCTCCAGAGACTCGGGCTTGGTGGTGCTAGCCCAGCGTCCCTTGACCTTTCCATCACGTCCAACAAGGAACTTCTCAAAGTTCCACTTGATGCGCTTGAGGCCCAAAAGACCCGACTGCTGGTCCTTGAGCCAGGCCCAGAGAGGGTTGGTGTTGTCGCCGTTGACCTCGGTCTTCTGCATGATGGGGAAGGTCACGCCGTAGTTGAGCTGGCAGAACTCCTGGATGTCGTCGTCGGTGCCGGGCTCCTGGCCACCGAACTGGTTGCAGGGGAAGCCGAGAATGACAAAGTCCTCAGGGTACTTCTCCTTGAGCTTGGTCCAGAGTTTCTCGAGACCAGCATACTGGGGAGTGAAGCCGCACTTGGAGGCTGTGTTGACAATGAGGACGACCTTGCCCTTGTAGTCGGCGAGGGGAACCTCTTGACCGCGCTCTGAAATGTGTTAGTTGAGAGAGTCATGAGAAGGTTTATCATGAAAGTGGTGTGGTTAAGGCGGGGTATGAACGAGGGGGAGACACATACTGTCAAGAGGCTTAAAGTCATAAAAGCTAGTAGCAGAAGCCATCTTTGAAGTTGTACTCAGTTGACGGAAATGGTTATGAGTGATATTTGCTTGGTGAGGACTGCTGTGGTTGTGTTTTGTGTTGAGAGGTGAAAATGGCGGGGAACGAAAAGAAGTCGTAGCGGTGGTGGTGTAGTATTTATTAAGCCAGCGGGAACTGGAACTCGATGATGGCCGTAAAGTCAACCAACGGGGAGCAGTAGCACGCCACAGGGACATTAGATAGGTACAGTTGCAGTAGAATTGGTGGTAGAGTGGCAGGGAATAAACCTCAAGAAACAATGCGAGTTACATACAATTACACAATAACCGTAATTGATTGCATGGAGACTGCTTCTACACTTCTACAAGCCTCGGCACTTGACTCCATTTTTGGTTTGGTGACGTATTCGGGGTGGAGTGTTCGGGGTCCCCAATTCCGCCGGTACCGAAGTGTTGAGATAAATATTAGCTATGTATTTGGAATTGTTCCTGACGTTCACTCATAAACTGTTTTATATGTTTCACGTTCATGTGAGCTGAAGTATAATAGAAGGATATATCTGGTCAAAAGCGGTTAAAGTGCCCAGCTGAAGACTATCACTCGCTACCTACCTAATCAGAACAAGACATGCACTACAAACATAGCTTCAACTGTATAACTTAATATCAGAGCCTCTTTCTACACAATCGGTCTTTTTATATAATTCTGCCCAATCTCTCTTCTTCCATTTGGAATCAATTGATATCGGTGCAACACTCTGCCGATTTATTTCATAGCTACTCCCCGGCTCGGCAATAGCTCCGGTTCGGATTTCGGGACTGCCCCGCTAAACACATTCATGGATTCTCAAGAGGAGCGGCCGCTTTATCTCTTATCGATAAGTCTTATCTAAAGTGCAGATGTGTGGCGGTGCATGTGGTGGCGCGGTATGTACGTCACTCACTACCAGGTACTGGACCCCAACTCTTTCCGGTTCCCATCTGATCGGACGCCAAAACGTTGATCATGCTCATGACAAGTACCTAGACTACAGCTTGAGTCCTGCTTCTCAACTCAGTTTTGCTCATTTCAAGTCGGTCTAGTCGTGTTCTGTTGGATATGGACGCAAAGAGAAACATCGTCGTCGTTGGTAAGTCCCCTCGCCACTTACAGGGCTCTCTATCATCCCCGTCATATTTCATCAACCTCATTTCATACATCGGACCACATAAGGCTGATAAAAATATCAGGAGGCGGCATCATTGGCTCAACCACGGCCTACTATCTAACACGCCATTCGAAATTCAACCCAGCCTTACATACCATTACCCTTCTTGAAGCTGCTCCCACTGTCGCACAAGGTGCATCAGGCAAAGCTGGCGGTCTTCTTGCCCTCTGGGCTTATCCAGAATGTCTCGTTCCTCTCTCATATCGCTTGCATGCCGAGTTGGCTGCTGAGCATAACGGGCCTCAGAGATGGGGTTATCGACAACTCGGCTGCGGAAGCTTTGATGCTGTCGTGACGCGCGACAAGATCAAATCACTCCAAGCCAACGGAAACGGAAGCGCAAACGGCAATGAGAATGAGAATGGAAAAGACTGGGAGAAACTGCCAAAACAGAATGGAGCAGCAAAAGAACTCCTGGAAGAAGGCATCTTACCGAAGGATCTCGACTGGGTAGACCATAGCATCATTAACGGCTGGTCTGAGATGGGCGCGCCCGGAAAGACAGAAACATCTCAAGTGCATCCCCTACATTTCACAACAGCAATCGCAGAACTTTCCCAGCAAGGTGGCGCTCAATTACACACCAACGCCAAGGTAACCAAGATAAACTCCACAAAGAATGGTGTTGAAAGCATAGAGTATCTAGATCGCAACACAGGCGAGACCAAGACCATTGCCAGCGTGACAGATATAGTCGTGGCAGCTGGTCCATGGACGAACAAAGTCTTGCCTCGGGCCAGGATCGAGGGGCTAAGAGCGCATAGCGTTGTCTTCGACGCAAACGTTAGCCCTTATGCTGTCTTTACAGATATTCAGCTCCCTCCAGATTTCATACCCGAGCATCGTGCCAAGATGGGGCAGAAAAGGAGGCACAGGGGCAATGTTGATCCAGAGATTTATGCTCGGCCTTTTAATGAGGCCTATGCGTGTGGTGAACCAGATACAAATGTCCCGTTACCCGAAACCGCAGATCAAGTCGAATGCGATGAGGCTCAGTGCGACGACATAATCTCATATATCAGCACTTTCAGTCCTGTTTTAGCCGCGGCTCCCATCAAGGCGAAACAAGCATGTTATCTCCCAAGGCATATTCGATTTGGACAAGAGAGCGGTCCTTTGATAGGCAAAACGACTGTGCCTGGGTTATTCGTTGCTGCAGGACATACGTGCTGGGGAATTCAGAATGGTCCCGGGACGGGCAAGCTCATGTCCGAGTTCGTGTTTGATGGAGGGGCAAAGAGTGCCGACGTTGATAAGCTGGATCCTCGGAAATTCAAGGTTTAATTAATAACTCTCGAGCAGTTGGATATTAAGTAGATATAGATGATTAATGAATAACATGGGGTCTTGGCATGAATTTGGTGTGTCAGACCTAACACGTCGTGTGAGCAAGATAAGATGATCGCCAAAAACTGCCGACTCCATTACAAGATATGACCAAGGCGAGACGTACTTTCCTTATAATGTTTGTTGGAATAATCATTACAGAAGCTTTTTTTGCTGCTTGTAATGGTTAAGCTACCTGATAATTATTAGGAGGTTGGAACACACTGACACTTTCCACTAGCGTCCCACTTCTCTTATCGATAAGACTTTGCGATCAAATTTTGGCGGGCATTTTTTGGACGTCTTAACCATCTTGAATTATCGACATCTCAACCAACATAAGGATTCACATTATCAACCATGGGTCGCGAACTCCAAAAGAAGAAGGCCCGCTCAGGCCGCCAGCCTATCCGTCAACTTAACAGAACCAAGAAGATCCTCAACCCCCGAGGCAACGATGCCATTGCAAAGAACTGGTATGGCCAATCCCCTAGCCACGGACGAGAGCGCTGCGCTAACTCCTCAAAGGAACAAGAAGGAGACTCTTTCTCAAAACTATCGCCGCCTCGGTCTCGTTGCGCGACTCAAGGCTCCTACAGGTGGAACAGAGAAGAAGCTTGGCGCGACCACAACCCGCGCATACCCCAACGATCCCTTCTCTATCGCCACCATGGAGAACGCCATTGTATCAGAGGCACGCGTGGAGCGCGATGCCGATGGAAAGATCATTCGTATTCTCGGCGAGGCCAAGCCTAACCCGCTTAACGATCCTCTGAACGAACTCGACAACGACAGTGACGCTGAGCCTGCCGAGGAGTGGGGTGGCATTGAGGACGACGCTGATGCGACCGATGTTGTCAAGACTCTCATAGAGCAGAGCAAACAACCTGATCTTCCCAAGAAGAGACATCAGAGCACAAGGGAGAAGGAATGGTTAGAGAAGCTCGTGGCCAAATATGGCGACGATACAGCGGCTATGGCCAGGGACCGAAAGTTGAACCCCATGCAACAGACCGCAGCTGATATCGCCAAGCGAATTCGCAAAATGAACAAGGAGTAGGAGCGGGATACACGAAAGAAGAGCAGGGCTTTGTGGGTGAATAAGATGAAGTCACTAAATCATCAAGTATGGAGCATCAAAACTGGCTTAAGAACAGAAGGCGTTGGGAGTTGGATTCGAGCATCTTAAAATATAAGACGCCGTATACTTTTCATTTCACACGGCCAAACTTTTATACTGCCCAAAATATAGAAATAACCACAAGCATGAGAATCCAAAGTGCCTTATATATATATGTGTGTGTGTGTGTGTGTGTGTGTGCATGGGTGCAAAGTCTAAGTTAGATCATACGCAGCCAAAGGCCTCATCCATCTCCCCTAAGTTGTCTCCGCGAAAGCCATGACGCCGTTAAACGCCCCTCCTCGACCAGAGGCGTTATCTACCGTACAAAACATGTGAACCCTGCATCCCAGACGCAGTTTCCCAGGCTATTCCACACCCAATCAAAATGAACACTGTTGCATAAAAAAGAGACCGATATATCCTTTCTTTCATTTATCACGCTGTTGCTACTTTAGTGCCCCCTATCGTAGTTGCCGGCAGGGAATTGTGCGGGTACATCCTCATAAGGATGACCACCTGTTGGGTTGGCGTAGCTGGCTGGCATTGATGGAGGAGCACCGCCGGAGTGGTACTCAGTGTCGTTGTCGAAGAGGGTGTTGTTTCGAGGGGGCAGGGCACCGAAACGATCGGGATCCTCGTCATCGGCGCTATAGGGGTTGGCATCGCCATAGCGAGAGTGGCTGTTATAGCTGTTGGTGTTGTAGCCACCGCCGTAGGCACTGCCCGATGGTTCGTGATCGTCCATGTCAACTCGCTCGTAAGCCTCATCGCCGTGAGGGGCCATGGAGAACGCAGCCTTGTCAGGGTCGATGTTGTCGCTGCCCATCTGGCGGTTGTCGTAACCTGGCAGGATGTTGTGGTTGTTGTAATAGTTGAGGGTAAATGCAGAAACAAAAGTTGTACCGGCAAAGAGGAGGCTGCAGGAAGTTAGTAAATATTCAGCAGAGGTCGAGTTGGAGTACATACGTTACCAGAACACCACAGCCGACAACACCCTTGCTGATGCCACAGGCCTTCCCGCAATCACCGGCGGCATTGTAGGCAGCCTGACAAGCGAAGGCAGATAGCCATATGATTGTGAAAGCAGCGTCAACAGCAAGCATGGCATGCGGTTGAGCGAAGCGACGAGTGCGACCCCATCGGGGAGTCATGATGAGGAAGATCCATGCTGGGACAGAAAGGAAACACTGCAGATATCGTTAGCTCCGCATACACATTGTGAAATAGCCGTCGAAATGTTGACATACCACTGCGAATGCCCAGCCATTTCTTCCATTGACCTCTGCATCCTTTGCATTGAAAACACCAATCTGCAAACACCATGCGACCAGAGATATGATGATCTGGAATGAGTGAAGGCCCAG